TAAAATTTTACTAGTATATAAGTCGGATCATGGCGAATCGGTGGACTATATTTGTATATACATATATATACACGGAAAATTTTAAGAAAAAATATTATAACTTTCCCAGTTTTCAACAGATTTTCATCAAACTTTATATATAGCCATACTATATTAATATAGATTTTTTTGTGAAAATCTGACTACAATATCATACAAACGATCCCTAAAATTAGAGCAAAATGTAAAATTGGAAGTATTTATTTTTATAAATTTGAAACTCTTTTCTCCCTTGCGACACACACTGCGTATACTCAATTTAAGGGTTTTCACGTTAAGTATACGCCATGTAGGCCCGCTAGCTAAGGGTCTGTATGGAATTGCCTTACAATATTGCATCGTCTTCCTTGAATTTGTAATTGAAATGAATACCCAGAGCTATATTTATTTCAACAATCCCTTTCTCATTTGTATTTTATTTTAAAATACTTCCCGTATTTTGATAAGACTATCTGCTGTAACTGCTCTTTTGGCATTCTGGCAACGATTTATTTATCAACCCAACCACCTTTTCGGTTGACAACACTATTTGCAGGACATCTACCCGCTAATAGCTAAACAAGCACCATCTGCTACCCATTTCTTTGCCACCCTGAAACCGGTGACATGGTTGTGCGTGGTTGCGTGGTGCTCACGCTATCGTGGTTGAGGTGCCACGTGCACCCTGACCTGAGACCCCTTCTCCCTTCCCACCCACACTCACCTGACCCCACCTGCTGTTTTGGTGGGGGGGGACGGGGGGTCTCGGTGCATATAAAAACACTTGTGGCTGATGGGCAACTGCCGGATGGCGGATAGTGCATCATGTCATCGCATGGCGGCCAACGCAAATGCAATTTAAAGCAAACAATTTTTTGAAATGACCTACATCCTGGGCAGGACACAGCACACGCACTCACACACACATTGCATCCGCACACTCGCAAACAGACAGCAACAAAATGGGAGTTGTTTTCAGTGCGGCGCACACAACATCATTAAAAATTAATTCACGCTCGATGTCCTGCCCCCTGCTAAAAAATAAAGGACGAGCAAGTGGAGTAAAGTGAAGTGGAGTGCAACCAGTGACCTCACTTGGAGAAAAAATGGGTCATACTTAAAGTAATTTGATCAGACAATCTTTAGAAACAGACAACTTGATGAGATTACTGAGAGATTTCACAGAGAAAAAGGCTTTGTTTTTAAATATAATTATTATAACTTTCAACCAAAATTTAATATTTAATATTTGATTGACAATGTAGACTTTCTGCCTGCTTTTCTTTAAATCGATTTATAATATTTTATAAGATTTATTTCTATATATTTTTAACAGTGTATGAAAACAGAACTCGGCTAAACAACAACAGCAGCAAGTGAATGAACACGTTTTGCGGTCGCCGGGGCTGTGCACTTTATAATGTTGGCCAGCTCCTGGTTCAGGTCCTGGAGTGCAGGATCCAGACCTGATCCCTGTCCTGGCCCAATTCTACCGCCGCCTGATGACTTAATGAGCATAATAAGCTCAGCGCCGAAATTACCTTTTTAAATGAACATGATGCCGCCCAAAGGCAGACTAGTTTCAGGTGTGGTGTGTGGAAAACAATCCACACCCAGGAAACACCCGCAGGACACACACACACACACAGGTGGAGAGTGTGCCAAATGGGGATTAAAAGTGGCATAGACAAGCGGTTACATATTCAAATTAAGATTTTAATGTTCACACAAAAGGCGGCCTGGCCATGCCAGAATAACCATTTTAAACCTATCTCTTGTGTGTGTGTCTGTGTCGTCCTTTAAAGGATACCAAAGAAATGCAAATGCAAATTAATTAGTCCGCCGTTTGATTGAGTTACAGTTAAGTAGCTTAGCGAAATCTCCCGTCCCGATAAGGTTTTTGAAATGGATAATGGCACTGTTAATGGGAGATTCAGGCAATAAAATCAGGGGACAGATAAATCCCATTCAATCCCCTTATTAAACGTTATACATATGCACAGAAAATTGATTTGAAATTGCTGAAATAGGAGTAGTTGAGCCTAGGAATTAAATTCTGTTTAATTCTGTCAAGGGGTCATGTGATAATTTAGTCTAATTGGAATTTTACAGTAGAATAATTATAGAATTATTGACTAATTTGACTAATAAATTAAATACATTTTGGGGACAGAGAATGATTAATTTGTCACCAAAGAAAATAATTATGAAATTGAAACAAGGGGATAACAAAAGCTGGGGATACTGTAAATAAATAGTTATGCAAAGTAAATCTTTAACAAATAATTTAATATATTTTTCTATGCTCCAACCATTTAGCTAAAAGGAAAATTTCCGCTGAAAATATATATAACAGTTTTCTTGAAAGTATTTTCCGTCAAAAATCTCCTTTAAAATTCAAAGCTGCTGATGGTTAAACGGAACTGCAAGTCAGCTTTGAGAGGCTTAGGGTTAAAGTACTCAGAAAAGTCAATCACAAGTACGAGAGTTCCTCTACCGTTGACCCAATAACCTTTCGCGAATTTTTAAGCAGCCGTCAGATTGCGTATACGCAACGTTGAACCACATCGCTTCGGCATGCCATAATCAAATTAAAGCATAATTTTTTACAACGTCATAGTCATAAATATGAACGATGAGAAATTGTGCCCTCGAAGAAGAAAACATGAATCGTAAAATCGTAAAAAGGCAAATGCAAGTGCGGAACCGGATGTGTGGGATCCCCTTGCAAGTGATTTCCCATTTCCGCTAAGCGTCTGGGCGAGAAAAAATAAAATGAAATGTATAAATCATTTTGGCGATGCTTTAAAATTGAATACGCATTCGTCAGCAATAAATTTGCCGGGGCAAAAGGACAGGGGCTCCTGCAGCTCAGTGGCTCATCTTGGAACTCCGTTCTGAACTCCGGTTTCCAACTTGGTCACATATGCGCTTTTGGCCGCCTCTTGGGAAATTGCTACAATTCGTTTCATATTTCATGTGGTTTCGGTTTTTGGGTTTTTGGCTTCCGCTTCTGTTTTTGTGAACGCAAATTTTTACCGCCGCCTTTATGTATATATATATTTTTAGCTTTCCACATGAGTTATTATTGGCAAACGGGAATCCCCGCCAAAGTGCGGGCGGAATTGAAATTGTTTGCAACTGATTTGCATATTGAATGCAATAGAAAATGCGGCCTTATTTATGGCCAGCGGTTGCAGTTGCTCGCTTTCTGGCGGAGTGCAATTAGCCATGGCTTTTTGGCCACCAAGTTGTTGCATACTTTTTGCAGAGCCTCACTGTCAAGTCTATTTGAAAATCTTGTGAAATGGATATGACTCAGAGAATGATCTACAAAATACTCAACCGATTAGGGCTATAAACTTTCATAAAGATATTTAAGTGATTTCCGATTAATGTTCAAAAGGGTTTTCCTGAGAAATTAATAGAGAATTGTCACTTGTCACTTCATTTATTTAATTGCAAAATATTTGCCCTTAAACTATAAATTTAATTTATTTCACATTGTATTTATCAAAATTTTTTCTATAAATAATTAATTAAATAATTAAATAATTATAACAAGATCGAATTTTCTAAACACTTTGTATATTTAAAAGGATTTTTATTTATTTGATGTGGTGTTAATATATTGACAATGATTTAATTTACAATGCAAGAAATGACATTTTATAAAATGAAAAAGATTTGATTAAGACAGGCAGTATAATTTATAACATTTAATTTTATAGGTAGATCACATTCCCTAACAATACCTCTAAATTGTTTGCAACATTTTTTCCCTGTTGATATTTACAAGTGCAATTAAGGCATGTAAGTGTTTTTTCATCGGGCTTCTGCTATTAATCATTATCATTATCTGTCTTTATTAGAAAATTTACTTGATAAGAATAAGTGCAGGTGGGTTCTGTCTTAACTGCAAACTATTGCCTCACCTGCAATACAAATTTTTCAAGTATTAATTTCCTGAAGGGTTTTACAAAGGGACTAATTGTAATTAAGGTGTGTAAATATTTTTATTAAGTTTTAGAATCTTTGGCTTTGGCTGTAGAAAGGTGCTTCCCATTCATGAAGTAGAGTCGTAGTAATTATGTGCAATAATTTTTATGGTTTTCGTCGAATAAATCGGCTGCCTTAAACGAACACCAATGACTTTTAATCACAAATTAAAACCAATCGTGTTTATAGCCAAAATTTGATAACGAGGGCATTAGCTCACTTTCCATTTTGACACGATCAGTTAAGAGTTAATTAAGTTGAGCTAATTTTAAACCATTAATGTGATTTCTAATTTTTTTTTTATTTTGCAATGTCACGTTAAATTTCCTTAAGCATAGTTTCATTTGAACAAAAAACAATACTTTTTCTATTTTATTTAAAGACTTTATCATTTCAAATATGCATCGATCACTCGTCGTCTTTTGCAATCTCATTTTGCCATGTCGAATTCCTTGCTGCCTGTGCTCCTTGGTGTATGCTAATTTTTGGCAAACATGCTCGTTCCGGCGGAGGTCCTTTCTTAATTTCAAATGAAACAATGCGCAATGGAAGACATTGCCAAATGTTCCGGGGGATTCCAGGGCGTTGGGGAATGGAGGGAAAGCTCTGTCGTCGAAACGAAACGAAAATCGAATTTATGGTCTAACAAGCGCTGTCAAAATGCGAGAATTGAGTGCCTACTCCGGGGTCCTGCATCCTGGGCCCCCTCTCCCGCAAACGTGTCCTCGTTGCTGGCATACATTCAGCTATTTCCTAGGTGCCGACTGTCGCTCCAGGACCCAGCTGCTCCCCAGGACATTTGCATCTCGCATATAAATCGCATTAGCAGCACGCAATTACGAGACCAGGACACATGGGGCGCAGGGTTTTGCGGTTTTAAGTTTCCGAAGGAACTCTCCGGCAATAAACAATTACGCCAATAGTTTTTAGCCTCCACACATGGCAGATAACAAATAATCAAAGAGAGAGAGAGAGAGAGAGCCTTGAAGGGGTATTTAGCTTTAATTTACGATTTTGTTAAAAATAGTACTGTCCGACCAATGACAATGATAGCGTAGATCAATAAAAACGATCTAATCGCCTCAGTCGGCGGACACGATGTATTAAGTATGTATATATCACATTTGACTAGGCACACAGTTCACCCGATTCCGGATCACAGCAGAATGGGGCACTTGTACATGATGTTGATCTTGTCAATATCCTTAGAGCTGAGACCCAGTCTCTGCCCGATGTTGGCGGATGAATCCAGTGGCGTTATGGTATCCTTGCCGTTGGTGGAGAAGGCTCCCGGCCGATAGTGAAGGCAACTGTCGTAGTCATAGCCCACTTCGAAATCGGTGACCACAGTATCGGCGTATTTCTGGAAATTAAACTCCTTTCCAGGCACTATATTGTCATAGTGCACCTCTATGTAGTCATCGCGAATAGCCGAGCTCTGCTGGTGATAGAAACCCATGGCGTGCATAAACTCATGGAGTATAGTTCCGGGTCGAAAGCAACCCTCTCCTATGGGATATATCTCCAGATTCATTTCCTGTGGTTTTCCCTGATAACCCACAGCCGTGTAGCAACCACCTTCCTTGGCCGTAACTGTCAAATAGTAAGTATCCTCTGCGGTGGCCTCTCGAAACCGGATGCAGGTATGCTCCTCCAGCGTCTGGATGCCCGCCTTGATGGCATTCTTATGGACATTATCAAAGTCATCCGATATCCGGTAGACAATCATATTATTTGGCCACTGCTTTGTAGTATCAATTAGGCCATTGCGTGTTTTGGGAACACCCTGCTCCAGCATCCTCTCCTGATCCTCTGTCAACACCATATCACCTTCCGCAAAGCCAGCAGACTCCTCGGGATCATAGACACCTGCCGGCAGGGGTTTGCCAGAACTGATGAGCACTTGCAGTAGCAGAAATAATGTTATTCCAAGTCTCGACATCTTGCCAGTTCAGTTCCTTAAACAAGACTAGTAAAATCGACAGGGAACACGTCCACCTAAATATAAAACAAGTGTGATCGGCCTGCAAGCCTTTCCCATTTTAGATTAGATACAAAACGGGCAAAAACCTATTTCGCAAACTGATAATGACGGAGGGAACGTCCAATTGGATCAAGGTTTATGGTTCTAATGTCACCTGTCATTGGGGCGCCTTCATTACCTTTCATTAGTCATGTAAGTTTTCGATTAATATCTCTAACATACGTCACCAATTGTCTTACGGATTGCCGCAATTCACAATGAGTGATAGTAAAAATAAGAAATATGTAAAAAACCGAAAGTCAAGTGGAAGCATTGATTGAATTTTTTAAGTGGCCAGAATATATATATAATTAAAGCTTCCAGAATATGAGTAATTCCGGCAAAATCGTCAATTGATAACTGATAAAGAACCCAACAACCGGGACACGCGTAATCGTTCCGCTAAACACAAGTGTTCGTTGGGTTGTCTATTCCGTGTTTGAATTCGGTTTCTTATCGCCACACCGAAAAGAATTCTCTTTTTGAGAACCCTTGAAAGGTACTTCAACATGGCTATCAATCGGTTCTCTTATGGCTTCCAGAAATGCTAAAAAAGAGCTCAAGTTCTATGCTCACTGATCCAGAGAACTCACAGGGTTTAGTTTTATTTTCTTCTCAATAGATCTTTCTATGAAACTTTTAACTAGATCTCTTTGCTGACAATCTATAGACCATGTCAAAATTAGATTAGACATAGCCGTGACACTTGTACATTTTGTTAAGCTTGCGAATATCCGATTTAGTCATTTTTATGCGCTGACCCATATCGTAATTGCCTTTTTTCAGGGCAACTATTGTCGGCTGGCCGTTTTTGCTAAATGCCATCGGTAAATAGTGCATAACGCTGTTGTAGTCATAGGCTTCACCAAAGTTATGCCAGTGGGTCGTGTCGTCCTCATTTATAAAGTTGGTAAACTGATTTTTGTCAATATTTTCCCACTCGATGCGAACATACTCATCTCGATTTTGCGACACATGCTGATGCTCAAAGCCCAGGGAGTGAAGGAGCTCATGCATTATGGAACCGATGCGGAAGCAACCCTTGCCAATCTGATGGGGTTGTAAATTAATTCTATTTGGCGCATTCTTTCTGTAGCCCAGAACCTCAGTATTGCAGCCATCATTCAGTCCAGTAATATTAAGGGCCAATGGTAGCTCCTCTTCCTTGGCTATCACGTAAGTGATACACGAATTGTTCATAATAGTGGCCATCGCTTCGGAGATATGAGCCAGCTGAGCTTTGTCTTGAATAAGAAAATTGATAAATGTTAAAGGTTTATCCATATCATAATACTAAGTATTATTACCAAAAACATTGGGCTGGATAAAATAGCGGACTGTGGCATTTGGCCAGCGAAAAATCTCATTGCCGATCCCATTTCGCCGCTTGGCACCACGATTCAGGATGTCGCCTTGATAGTATGTTGACGTTAGTTCCGGATCACTCTCAAGTGCATTTAAAGGTTCCCAACAGAACAATAAAATCAAAACTAACTTTAATCCCAACATTTTGATGACAAAAAGCGAACTGAACTGTCCAGCTGAACGGTGCAGCAGATTAGCGTTTCAATAATGCATTTTCCATGCTTTTATGGAAGTTATTTAATTAATATAATTACCAATTCTGTAATGCTATTTGCAGTTCAAATACATTTGGCAAAAAGGGATTTTTCTTGATCTACAAATTTTAAAAACATTACAAAATAATTAAAATATATTTTTTAATTTATTTTCTTTGTTTACTTCCAAGTTAAGACACACTTTTTTGATCTAATTGTGGCATACTCACGGGCTTTATAATTTTATTCAGAACCTTGAAACGTTGTGAAGGATTCATTTCTGACCCTAAAAATCATATATATTCTTGATCAGCATCAACAGCCAAGTCAATCTAGCTATTTTTCACAGCAAAAATATGTTTTTAATTTATTCAACATTTTTTAAGTGGTTATTTTGTCAAAACTGTCAACAAGAAAAATGACAAAATTTGTACTTTTATAAATTTTTTAATAGAGTATGCAGATTTATTTAGCTAATAAAAACTAACATGGGAAAGCTTTCCGATTTGAAATTAGTGCATTTTTGGCTTAGTTATGAGTTTTGTTCTTAGAACGCTATCGATTTTCGCTTATATTCAATAGTTCAATTGTAAACTGCTTTGGAATATAAACTTAAGCTTTCCGAAGGTTGTTTATTTTCTTGTACTTGTTAATTTTAATTGGAAGTACTTATCTTTATAAATTTGTAACTCATATCTTCCTTAAAGCACACACTGCGTATACATAATTTCAGAGTTCGAACGTTAAGTATACGCCAAGTATGCCCGATAGTTGAGCATCTGTATGGAATGAATTTGAAACTGACAGTATTTTCAAAGAAAATGAACAGATTGATACGATTAATTTAAAAAATCTAAAGAATTAAAAGTCATATTAATTAAAGTCTTGATGTGTTTATATTCAGATGGAATTAACTCCAATTTGGGAGCGGGAAAACCAAAACCAAAAAAAAAAATACGATTAATTTAAAAAATCTAAAGAATTAAAGGTCATATTAATTAAAGTCTTGATGTGTTTATATATTTAAATGGAATTAACTCCAATTTGGGAGAGGGAAAACCCAAATATTCCTTTGAATTAAACCTGCCTGGGGCACTTGTACATGATATTTAGTTTGTTAATATCAGACTGGCTCATCTGCAGCCGCTGACCCATGATCTCCTCAGCTCCCTCCTCAAGCGGCACAATGGTCATCTCTCCGTTCTTGGAGAACGCATAAGCCGTGTAGTGCAGGACACTTCCATAGTCATAGGGCTCATTGAAATCCGAAACTGTCTCATTATCGTACTTGTTGAAGTTGTTCTCCGTTCCCTCCAAAATATTCTCCTCGGCAATGTGTACGTATTCATCGCGATTCCACGTGCTCTGCTGATGATAGAAACCCAGGGCGTGGAGGAACTCATGGACAATTGTGCCCAGCCGGAAGCAGCCAGTGTCCAGGGCATAGTTCTGGAGGTTCAACTGCTGAACCCTTTGTGTATGACCCACATACGAGAAGCAGCCACCCGCCTCTGAGGTGACATTCACATAGTATTCCTGGTCGGATGTGGCCTCCTTGAAGACCAGACAAGAAGAACGCTCAATGATGCGAATGCCACGGATAATGTGGTTGCGATGTTCGGTATCTGAATCAGGATTTAATTTACATATATACTTGTTTGAATATATATATAATCTTTAAAAACTCTTACCGATATACGGATTGATGTAATAGTAAACCGTGCGATCGGGCCACCTGTAGGTCTCATTAATCATACCATTTCTACCCTGTGGACTGGGCACCATATCTCCCTCAATATAGCCAGCCGTCAGCTCTGGATCGGATTCAATCCTCTCCTGAGTGGCAGGAGCAGCCAGGCAGATGCTGGCCAAGCAGAGGATCACCAAAGTCAATGTCCAGGTAGTCATGTTGAAGGCTCCACGATTGGGAAAATACTAATTGAGGCGGCAACTAAAAACCAGGCAATGTGGTCTCCCCCGACAATGGATAATTTATGGTATTTGCTATAGTTAAGCCTTTATAGCCAGCTAAAATGACCAATGGTCAACGCTAAGATGTTATCTAATCGTTAGCGGTTACCTGCCTAATATAAATTCGTATGGGTAATCTTAATTCATATTAGTTCTCAATACCTTCCTTATACATACATCAGGAATTCCCATTATCATCGAGATTAGATCTATGTACACACGCGTTTTTAAAAGAGACCTCATACGGCATACTTTTGGGTTCCTAGTTGATATTTATATATTTTAAATTGTAAATTGAAATATATGATTATTCCTATTGTCATCATTGAAAAACGTGATAAATTTTCAATTTTAGACCATATTATCAGCCTTAATTTAATCAAATCCCTTTCACAACATTTCTGAACTTCAATGTAGTACATTTATCTTCATTTATTCTTGCGTCATGCTTGGCAAACTCACCTGCCAAAATACAACAAAGCCTAACCAACCATGACCTCTCCTCCACTGAGTCATTTCATCTGAAAACACCCCAATCTCAGAGAGAAGCTTTCCCCCGTCCCCGAAAATCAAGAAAATCAGTGGCAAAATTAATCTGAAAGCAAATGACAGAGACGAACATTTTCAACTAATTGTATTTGTCAACACAATAAACAGATTATATATTTCGCGGGCCTGAGGTGGCAATATGAAAGCGAAATTTATCATCATTAAATTGCGAAAGGAGAAAGAGTATATCCTAAACGGTGGGACAATTGTACATCGCATTAAGTTTCCTGATGTCCGTTTCACTCAGTTGAAGTCTCTGTCCTATGGCATCTTCTTTGCCCTCCTCCAGAGCTATAATGGTTCTTTCCCCATTCTTGGAGAAGGCATAGGGACCGTAATGCATAACGCTGTCGTAATCGTACTTCTCACCAAAATCATTGACCGTTGCCTCGGTATATTTATCAAAATTAAACTCCATGCCCTCGGTAATATTCTCCTCCACAATTTCCACATAATCATCTCGATCCGAGGCACTCTGCTGATGAAAAAATCCCAAGGCATGGAGGAACTCATGGACAATTGTGTAGAGCCGGAAACAACCGACTTCGATTTCATAATTTTGCAAATTCAATTGCTGAACGCGATTCAGATAGCCAATATAGGAGAAGCAACCTCCCTCCTCAGAAGTTACATTCACATAATATTCCTGATCGGTGGTTGCCTCCTTAAAAGTCAAACAAGAAACGGACTCGATCTTATGGATAGCCTTTACAATTTGATTACGATGCTCGGTATCTGTTAATTAAGTTAAGTGAATTAATAATAAATTCTGTAGTAATTCATCTCGCACCTATATAGCTATTGATGTGATAGTAGACAATCCGATTGGGCCACCGATAAGTCTCGTTTCGCCAAATATTCCTTTGGGATCCACTGGGCACCATATCACCTTCGACAAATCCGGCTGTCAATTCCGGATCCGTTTCGATTCGATCAGCTGGCAGGGCCAATGCGCAGCTGATCAGAACCAAAATCAGGGATAATATACTATAGTAATACATGTAGATGGCTAAACGTTCTAATTCACACTGTCTAGCCAAGTTTATGAACGAACCGTTGATTAGCTTAAATAGTTAGTCTTAGTTATTTACGATTTCTAAATTACTATTGCCGATATGTAATCTAATCGTTTTCACAATAGGAAGCTATTAAAAGATTCTTATCACTGACTACTAAGTAACTAATTAAGGAATTAAAAATAGTCTACATATGTTAGCATATTTTTGGGGCTCTTTTAGTGAATGAAGTAGTAGACTTATTCTGCTCTCAAATAATGATAACAGGTGACTGATTAAGTGAACTCTTTCTAACTAATACTTGCGAAAAACAATCGATTATATAATATAAAGAACATAATAAAATCTTTCAGGCTAAGAACCTAAAGTGTTATCTTTATGATGTTCTGACATTTCAGTCCAATTAGGTCTAATAAAGAGGTTATTAAACTGCCTGTATCTTTAAGAAGATATTAACACCTAAATGCTTGTTTAAGATATTGCAAAATGTTTAATTCCGTTAAATATTTATTGGATTAAATTGAATTGATTTAAGTGCTATAATCGTTACTTTATAAGATAATAACTATCAACTATCTATATAAACTTAAAACTGTCGCATGCATCGATATTTTTCTGTGACTTTTTTTCGACAAATCACATCTTAAAAATCTTATACAAAGATGAGACTATTGTTAGGGCCAAATAAATATAATATAACTCTTGAACAATAAATGCTGCAATACAGCAGAGATAAAGCTATCAAAGATGTAATTCTGGAAAGGTATAAAAACCCTCTGCACTTGATACTTAATCAACAGTTTTAAAATGCATTACCTTGCATTCACTTTGCTCTTGACAATAGGACCTTTGGTTCATTCTCGTCCTTCCAGTGATATTCAAGTTGATGATGTCTTATATACTCCAGAACAATTACAATTCTTTGAAGGAAATAAAGAAAGTCGCGTTGTTCTGTCTTGGTCAGAATATTACTGGAAAAAGAGCACTCTGGTATATAGCTTTGGCGTGGGTCTGTGTAAGTGTAAAATATTATAGAGAAATTCTCTTTTTAAAAATTACTTTTATTACAGCAACCACAGATATGACTAGAGTGAAAAATGCCATGAAAGAAATTTCTTTACACACTTGTGTCAAATTTCGCAGGACTTTCAATCGTCGCGAACCGCAGGTGGTGATTCAACGAAAGGATACGGGATGCTGGTCCCATATAGGATATCTGGGCAGATCTAATCAGGAACTCAATCTCGGCAGTGGATGCATGTCTAGTGGAACGATTCAGCATGAACTCCTCCATGCTTTGGCTTTTTATCATACCCAAAGTGATCCCCAAAGGGATCAATATGTGCGAATATATCCAGAAAATATCCAGCCTGGCTATGAACATAATTTTGAGAGGCTTCGAGGCGATGGAGTCACAGATTATGGACTGGGCTATGATTACGAAAGTATTATGCATTATGGTCCGTTTGCTTTTTCGAGAAATGGAAACCCCACGATTATTCCTCTCCAGGGTAATGTGATTATTGGTCAAGCGAATAAGTTGAGTCCACGGGATGTGGCCACCTTAAATCTCATGTATTGTTAAGTTTAATAATCACTTTAATGGGCATAATATTATTAATATAATTAGTTAATTTTTATATATATAAATATACCTCTCCTTAGAATCAAGTCCCCAAGTTAAAGCCTCCTGTTAGTCACACAAACTTTAGCGAGAAGATAAAAAGAAGCAGCCCAGTCGTGTTAATTCCATATAGTACTTACTTTACCCAGACTTTACATCCTCTTCCAAAGTAATCGCAACATTTGCAATTCTAACGAGCTGTTGCACTTGACAGGAAACAAGAATCGCCCGTAGCCCAAAAGCCAGCCAGCCCAGCCAGCCCAGCCCCTCCAGACCCCATTCCCTGTTAATCTGGAAAACAAAAAGCCCCTACCAGCATAGAGGAAATGTTTGCCTTTGCGCTGGCAACTAAAAATTGAATATTTAGTGGTCGTAATTAAAAATTAGCGCGGCAGGCAACTAACCAAGGCAGCTCAGGCACCAGCACCAAAAGCCAACCGGCGGAGTCCTTCCGTGTAATCCCAGGACCAACTATCTGCGTGAAGCAAACCCCTTCTCTATCTCCCTCACATACAAGGACTCGCATATACTACATATATTTGGTTTTTTAATGGCACAGAATTGTGCTAAAGCCAAAGCTTCTCCACAGCCAGAGCTACCTGCACACAAAACGGAAGTCGTAAACATTTAATTTATGCAAGCAGTGCATTTGCTTTTTAGTTGCAGCCAAAAAGATGGGCCATCGTCGGAGCTCCTCTGTTTTAGTCGGTTTTATCAGCTTTTGAAGTGGTTAGTATTAGCGACAAGCCACTTAAAATGTGTGTACTTACCTTTGGACACCATTGCAAATATGTGTATTAATTTAAAAGGATTTTGGGTATCACTAAATAAATAAACGTTTGTGGTTGTACATGAATTAAGCGAGCTTAGTTTGGGGTTTTAAAATGCCCGAAAATTTAATTAAACTTGAATCTCATTTATATTTTATAAACTGTTTCATTTTAAGGATTAAAATTTGTCATCTCTTTTAAGCTTCTATTATAGATTATAATGCTTAAACATGAAATTAATTTAGTGTAATTAGTTAAGCCTTGATCTCACCATATTCTTGAAACCAAAAAGCTAAAATTATATCTTAACAATCCTCAATTAAATCACTTCTTTCTTTTAAAGAAAATCCTAAGCCAGCACAGCATCCCAATGCGATTATCACGCTCTCAAGTCATAATGTCTTGAGAGTTTCCTGGTTTTTATTTTAAGAAAATATTGCCAGCATAATAAAGAGAATTTAATGGGTTAAGGCGGCCACTAGGACGCCTGGCCATCAACTTTTCGCCAAGAGCAGTAAAAAAGTCAGCTGGCAGGAGCCACGTTTCGCTTTCTTTTTCCCAAGCTGCGGTTCTTTGTGTTGTGTTTTTACCCTCCACCTACACCCTCTCCACCCTCTCCGCCCTGCGATCGTTCTAATTTTATGACATTCTATTTTCATGCATAGCAAACCAGACGAGTGTGTGTGGGGTGTGTGTTGGTTGTGCGAGTGCAGCCATAGCCATTTCATAGTCAGACATGAATGCTGCGCTTTGTTGCCCTGCTACGCCTTTGTTTGTATTGGCCTCAGGGGTAAAGTTTTTAGGATAATAACTTCCTGCGACTTTACGAGCCAAGGCAAAAGCCAAAAACCCACCAGCAACAGCAACTAAAGGGAAATGAGAATACTTAAGCAGCCCAGTGTTACACTGTAATTAAGCTAGACTATTTTCGGGGCAGACAATCGTTGGATAATATCAAGTCCGTTGGGTATAAGTATACAATGGGATATGTATCATATAAAATAAACATTTTAATGCTTTTTAAACCAAAAACTAGAAAGTAAGAACATGATCGGAAATAAATTAAAAACAAAATTTATGAAATAAATACCCTTGCAATGGTATTATAATCTCAGTCAGAAGCTTGTTAAACTGTGAAGAGCCATTTCCATTTAAATCGTCAAAAATGGACAAAAAATTTTAATTTTTTAACATTTTAAATTGAGTATGCAGATTTTTAAACTTACTAAAAATTTGCGTAGGAAAGGTTTCCGAATTAAAATTAATGCATTTTTGGCTAAGTTACGATCATTTTAAAAACTTTGATTTACCAAAAAATAGGCATATTTTCGATATTTTTAGACTTACTCTCCCTTAAATTTTTTCTTGGTTATGGAGGAAATCAAAAAACCCAATATAGATAGCATCCTTTATTGTTTGTAGTTATCTTTTAAGAATTATTTTTTGAAAATGTAACCTTCCTGATTTTATAACAAATGAAAATAAAATCCAAAATTTCCCAGACTTCTATAACTTGATTAAGGAACATTTTTTCTTAGTGTATCTGGAGAACTGCATATGAGCAGCATGGCGAAGGCGAGCCCTGAAAAATATCTCAAGACCTTCCCTTGGAAGCAGGCAGCGAGTAAAAGGAAAAGCAAATGCCAACACATTTAGGACGCTAAGGGAAGATGTGCTGGCAGACCGCAGAAACTTTTGACGGCGTTGACAGGCTCAGAAAAAGCTAAGAAACAATGATGTCAAGCTAGCTAGATTTTAGTAAATCTTAAAAAATTTTTATATGTATATTTTTAAATTTTTTCTTATGAAATTTACAGATGAAAATGGGAGAAAGAAAAGGCTCAGTAAGATCTTTTACTTTGCCGCCTCTATTGATCGAATATATATTATGATAAATAAATACCTTAATATATTAGAAAAATAGTGCATATTTTAATCAGCTTATTTATATTTTTCTCAAATATTTAAAGTTCTGATTAACCCATCTTTAGAAGTATATAATAAGCACCACTGCCGAGAAACAAGTCGGTGGACTTGGTGGCTTGTGGTGGCATATTAAAGACAGACAGCTATAACAGCAGCACCACCGCCGTGGCTCTGGGCATAATCTCAGACATAATTACACACATACACACACACACAACTCACAGGACCTGGGCAAAAGGAATGCGAATGCCAGGATGTGGAGCCTGATTCCAGCTCTGAGCCGGAGACTGACAAATGCAGTCACACATGAATAGACGGCTCTCTCTTCGAGGTCGGTAAGTTCCCCCTCCCTGAAAGTCTTTTTCCACTTTCCTGGCAGGGAAAGTTAACTTAAAGGTGGAAAAATTCCTTTGAGAGGCGCGCCTGTACACCCGCACCTGACTTTTCGCGAACACAAAGTTTTTAAAGTGCATTTAAAATTAATTAAGCATACGACGCGTTGGCAGTTGCATGACACGAAAAAAGGGGAAACCCTGGTTACTTTATCTGGCAATTAACAAGTTTCTTCTTTTTCGCTGTAATTGATTTAACGCCTCTTTCTACCCCCCTCAAATCAAAGTTGAGCCCCTGAACTTTCGAGCTGTAAAAGAGGAGGGGTTAAGCCCCTGTTCTTATTCGTAGTTTATTCGCATGCTGTTGCTCTGTGTGCGCGCGGCTTGAAAAGTTTAGACACAATATCGCTAATGATAATTACAAGCTAAAAACTTTACCCACATTTGCTTGCACTATCCCTATACTTATCTGTGTCTGTGTATTTGCTTTTAGCTTCAGTTGGCAACACAGGCATAAATATAAAATTTTTCAGTGGTTAGCACAAAAGTTTCAGGCAAACCCAAAGGGGGAGTGATGAGTACAGGATTTAGCCCGTCCTAAGTTTTTCCTTCAGCTCCCCGCCTTTCCGTTCTAATTAAGCGCTTTTATTATAGCTAGAAGTCAATGCTTATTAAGATATCGGGCATCCGATACTAGTAAATGAATAGAGAAATTAAATTCAAGCGGAATTTATAGATTTATCCACAAAAGTTGCTCTTAAATTGGTAGAAAATATATTTATTTTGCAGTGAATCCTATAAAAATATTTGTATTAAATGTAATTCTTCATATATGCTATTAAAATTTTATTTTTTAAAAGACAAATGCCTAAATATGTTTTTAAAATTGTAACTAAATTGTAAGACAAATGCCTTAATATGTTTCCAAAATTGTAACTAAAATACTTCTAAAACCAACAACTTAAAGAAAAATTCCACATAAATATAAGATATAAATATAAATGGAAGAGTTGGTTTCATGCATCTTTCTGGACTTCTTTGGAACACTAAACTAATAACATTTAATTTACTTAAATTCTTTAAAAATATTTGAAGCAGTGTTAAATCTTCTATTGTATCAAATTTAAATGTTACTTTTATATAACCATTTTTTATTACCTGCAATTCTGTAACAAAACATTACTTAGAAAAGAAAACTGCCTATGAATGTGTCTAAAATTTAATCTAAAATCAAATTCCCATACAAGTAAGGCAAACCCTTAAACAAAAATAAAAGATTTTAACCCTCTACCTACTAAATCCCCGATTAACCCTTTTCTCCACTCCAAAAACTCTGGGTAAATAACACTCATTAGGCAATCGGGCGATGCAAGGCAAACAATTCAATGGCCGGCACACATTTCCAGTCTAACAACATGGCGCTAATGAAGTACAAATTGGCTAATGGGCCAGGTCGAAGCCAGAAATCGACAACCATGGTGATGGAGATGGTCTAATTATCAATACCAGGAAATTATGAGGCGGAAGACACAGAGACAGGCGCGAGAGCAGAAGCGGGGTGGCTTTTTATGTGAAAACTTTTGTGCATTTTCATGGCGAAACTTTAATGGATTAATTTACCAAAAACCGTTCGTGCCAGAGGAAATTGAAACATTGTGGGTGGTGGCGATGGTTGTGCGAATTTTCGCGATAGGCAGAGTCTCCGCCGAAGTTGAAGATTTATGGCTTACTCCGGAGAACCAAAACTCCATTCGAAATGCCGGCTTAATGGCTGCTGATCATTGCTGGAGATGGCAAAACATGCACAACTGAAAATTTGCAGTGTTATTTCTCTTTTTTTAAAGCAATTTTCGTTCAGTTTTCGGCTGGTGATATTCTAATTTCATTACCCACCCGTCGAGGCAAAAGTTTTATTAACTTTTTGCAAGTTTTTGCAGCACTGGAGTCATGAATATTTTATTGCATATTTTCCAGCGCACATTCACACACACACACTCGCAGAGAAAGGCATGAAAAGAGCAAAAGAAACGAAAGTCAATGATGCGTATGAGCTGGCACGCCTTTATCAATTTAATTTAATTAAAATTAATTCAGCAATAATTGACTTTTAATATGCAATCATTTGTATCAGCGAACTAGAGTCGCAGAAGGAGGCAGTAGCTGGAATGCCGGACTCTCGCCTGATATGCCATTACAAAAATTCTGAATTATTTAATTGCTCATTTGTCGACGTTGCATTGAGGTGAGAAATGTAAAGTACGAGAAGGATGCCTGCAATATCTGTAAAAAATAAAGGACAGCATAGAAAGAGAGAAATACTATTGTCCCCGCCATAAATAACTCACTTTCAAGCCGGCCTGCAGGCTCACGCGAAAATATTTCAAGCCAGTTACATAGAATGGCTTGCTATTCATCTCAATGGCCAGGTTAATAAGCTTCAGCAAACGCAGATTCTCCTGGGGATCTGTGGAATGCTCCAGGACCTGCTCCCAATGGGTTAGATAGTACATGGAGCTAAGGGAATCTGTCTGTATAAGGTATTAATTTCAAGAAACTAATGAATAAAGATATCCAAACTAACCGTATAAGCCAAGTTTGAACCAATTTGTCCCAAGGATAGCAGCTCCACCGTTTTAGCTCCAAACCAAATGGCATAAATGTAATTTGCCATGGGATTCTGTTTTTAAATTGCTCAAATAAATATTTTCTTCTTTCTTTTAGTTAATAAATAGTTATTCCCAACTCACCGTATAGGCCTTAAAAGACAGGGCACACAACAGACCCGCTGCAAAGGCAAACATTATGAAAACTCTCACTGTATATTGGGCTTCCAGCTGTTCTCCAAACTGATTCAAAGCCACATTCTTACGCAGAGTTTGTATAATCAAATCCTTCAACTGCTTGGCCATATAAGGACCCTCTTTCTTAGCCAATATCTTTTGTATAGCCAATTCCAAGTCTCTCTTCAATAGCAAATAACTGCCATTCAGATGGACAATCAGTTCGCAGAGTAAACTAGTCTCGCCAAACATCATGGAATCAATGATGATGCCTACCCAAACATTGCTCAGAAGCAAAGGCACAAAAATATGCAAAGGTTCCGTATCAAAAGGAAATATCATCGAGTAAAGAAAGTCCTTCCTCTTGTTGATGATCGAAAAGACAGGTGAAATGAGGTAGCCAGAGATAACTGCTCCATACATGGCGGAAACCAAACGATTGATAAGCATTTGCCCATCGACCTGACGAAACATTTCCGGCTCCTTGCGAGGATCTATGTAAATAGTAGTGTAAAAACGATGCAGGAACTTCTGGAGCGGTTCAAAGTGCAAAAGAATATGCAAACTTCGAAACTGAGCCTCCACCAGAATCAAATAGGTAGGCATTCCAGTGAGAAACTCATCCATATTCCGATTCCCAGCCTCCAAGCGTAGATACCTCAACTCCGCATCGTTGTGCTGGACAAAGATGAGACATCCCAGGACGGCCAGAATCCTATCCAGATATCGTCCCCACTTGCCCGTACTCGGATCCAGGGGCCAGAAAATGTGATTCAATCGGAAAAGGGCCAACGGCCAGGCCAACTTCACCTTCTGACCGTCAGCCAAACGGGGCACGTAACGAACCATAATGAACCAGAGACTGCGGAGTAATGCCTGTAAAATAATGCCTCAACTCCGGCTTATATATACGTATATCCTTGCAATTAGAGTCTGGGAGCCGAAACGATGACAGTTTCTCAACTTTTAAATGTAGTCTCCCATGCGTGCAATGGCTCAATTAAGTTATTATTCTCCAGCTCCAAAGCCGAACGGAAACATTTGAAAGTTTCACATTAATACTGCCTCATTTACCCTGTAATGGCTTGTCCTCAAATATTTAAGACAACTTTTCCAGAAGCAAGCCAATGGGAATTGGTTTTTATTTGGGGGCTATTAACGCAGGTAATGTAATGTAAACAAGGACAACACACAGGGAAAACGGAGTGTGAGTAGGGAATTTAATGGGAAATTGTAAGAAAAATAAATGCGACTTAAAAGAAAATTAAAAAACAAATTAGAATGAAATTATTAACAGAATAATATTTGTAAAATCAACTTTATGCAAGCCTATACTTTTCAACAATATAAATTATAATATTATTATTCTCACAAGTTATTTCCTAGTTCCTGGAAATTATCATAAATTATTCAATATTAAACCATTTGCATTTCAGTAAAAGAAGTGTTATATCAACAAATTTATTATTATTTACAATCAATTGTATTGAATAATCAGAAAACGCGATAATATTTATTTATATTACATTCATAGACACAATGATTGTAAATGCAGATGAAAAAATAAAACTTAAAAAAATGTCTATGCTAATAATTATCCTGGAAATAAATATCTGACATAACCCGGTTAAAGACCGACACATTTTTGCACTCTCTTTCTGTTCATGGATGACATTTTTCCAGCCATGAACTCTCTGCTGGTGCATGAAAAACTCACTTAACAAATTCATAAAAATCAATTAATTCAGACGCGCAACTTTTGCACGCTCCTGCAGCTTTTCCCCGGATTACTCCCAGCGTTTGCCATTTGTCCAGGACACTCCTCCGCATCCTGCTGCACAATCCTGGCCGGGACGGGGAGATAGTGGCAACAGTTTGTGTTATGAATATTTTAAGAGGCAGCCGTCTGTCTCTCCCTTGTCTAACCGAATAGAAAAACGACAATAAGGCAGCAGCAGCAGCAGGGCCACAACAGTAGAGCCAAAAAAAAGGCAAGTAAAGGAAATAAAGGACTGCAGGAGCTGCCACTGTGGCGTAGAAACTGTAGTTTGCTCGCCACATTCATCTTAATTTCCTGTCACGACAATGACAACGAGGTTCGTTGCTTCGCTCGTGGTTCGGTGGGTGTCCCTCAGCACATCCTGGCCAGCCAGCCAGCTAGCCATCCAGCCAAGTGTGCGTCTAGCCAAGCGGCTGACCAAAGTCCAGAAAACAACAGGAGCCACACATTTCACTGCCATTTTGTATGCACTTTTGGTGGAAGGATACCATGTATTGTTTATGAAGTTTGCCACCCGGCCTGCACTCTGCCTGTCTGCAAGTCTAAAGTTTTAAGCCAAGATGAGGTGAGAGTCCTGAATGATAAATATCATGAGGGAATGGTGCTTGTCCCTTAACCTAATAAATAATAATGTTTAGAACAAAATCATAGTTTTCTATGGTAGTATTTCTAATCTAATCAAAGTCTTTTATGTATATATTTTCTTTAAATAATTTTTAGGGACTTTCTTATTCGCCTTAGTGAAGATACTACTTCTTCACCGTTTAGTTTTTTCTCCGTGTTGAGCGCTTTTTAAGCCTTTGTAGCGGCTGTTGCTTTGGCTTTAGACTTGGCATCTGTATCTGTAGCTGTATCCCGAAACTGTGCCGGCTTTGTATCCCATAGATGGAATTGCTCTCTGTCTCTCTCTAGTCCTTGGGCATCCTTGTGCGTGGCAGTGCCAAATGCCGTCAAAAAGCAAAAGGGGGCTCGTTTTGCCCAGGCGTTCCGCATAAACAAGGGTGGCGCCCTCATCCGTTTCACTATATCCTTTCCACAGCTCCCCCGTCTCCTCTGTCCGCTGTCCGTTGTCCGTGTGTCCGTGTGTCCTTTGTTCGTTCGCTTTTCCTGCCACCCAACTCTTCTTCTGCTCGATGGTATCGCGTGCCACAGGATATTGCACTCTAAGCCAGTAGATGGCGTCATGTAAAGCTGGACAACATCCGATTAAAACTTTACGATGTGCGTGTGTCCGCCAGTTCTACTCGTTCCTCTGGTTTTTTTGCAGCCGCTGTCTGCGAATGCGAATGGTAACGGGAAAAGGACTAAAAAGGGGGGCAAACGGGGTCTCTCGTTGGTCAGCAAGTGGATAAATTCTCATTTACTGCTCTTTTAAGCATGCTGTTTTTGTCGCTTTCCCTTATCCTAGCTTTTGCTAGTTATACTTGGGTCAGAAAAAACACACAATTGGGGGATTCTAGGACTTGAACTAGGGATAAGGAAATTCGAACGGATTCGATTAGGAATACAATTCTTATTAATCGTTTAATATATAGGTTCTTGTTTTACCTCATAAGTAGCACTCGCTCTTAAAACTTTATCAATTAAAATCACCAAATAAATATCGAATAATTTCCCTAAATCATCCTATTACCATTTTCTATACTTTCTCCTTAAAAACAAAAACACTCCCAATAAATCCTTGATCATTTCCTGGTTCATATTACCTTTTCCCCCATAGAGTAGAGGTATCAATTAGTCCAACCCCCTCAAAAGACCAAAGACCATAGCCCGCTGTCGTTCAGTTTCAGCGTGTAAATTGTCCTCTGGTTAGAAGTACTCGTCGGCCGAAAGGACGAAGGACGTGTGGCAGGGTAATAGCGCGGCATGTTAAACTGACCGCAAGCATTGTTTATCATTAAGTGCGGCCCATGGGCAGAAGGACATATGTGGGTGAGGGAGAAGGACCAAAGCAGAGGGCTTCAGTTCGGGATTGGGCCAGTTCCCGGGTCAGCATGTGTCACATGACATATGTGCAGCCGGAATGTACTGAGAGCTCTTCGTCCACGGGCTGTGCACAACATTTTTCTGGTTTCCTCTTATACACAAAACGAAATTTTATACAAGAAAATAATTGGAAATTGATTCCTTTCAAATAAAATCCAGCAAAGAAAGGTAAAGATAAGTATAAGAAATATACAAGAACGATAGATAAATCCATGAAAAATTAAATGATATTTTTTAAGATTTAGAAATTCATTTGTTGGTGATATTGTGACCTAAAATCAATGCTATTCCTCTATTTAATAAAATAAGGCAATCCCCAGTTAGATTTAATTTCTGTTTATTATATCTCCTTCAATTTTTCCAACTGTACAGCTTTTTTCTCTACTGACCAAACATGTGTATTGTGGCTGCCTTGGGTTAATGGAGTCGTTAGTTAGGGCCACTAAAAACCAAATGAAAAGCTCAACTTTAAGCGCCCAAACATTAAATAAAGGAAATAAAATAAACTTTAAACTCTTCGTTTTTTTTTAAGCCATTTTCGGCAAGCAATTCAGCTCTCCCCGCCTTTTGCAGCGAGTGCATGGAAAACTTTTGTAATTAGGAAGCAATGTCGGTCATTAGTGCGGCAGCTGGGGGGCACGGGTGAGGGGAGGAGAGAGAGTGAATCCCGGGGAAAGAGCCACAAAAAGGCGCCGGCAGTCAAAACAACAATGCAAATGTGCAGCAGCGAAAAACCCCAAAAATTTCCTTCCACATGGAGAAAGATGGAATGCACTACCATAAAGTCAGAGAAGTCAGAGAATATTTGCAGAGAGATAATTACGAATTTTCAATGCGGCTGTAGATAGTGGCATAACTTATGGTTCACAGTCATAACACAGGCACAAGTAAAATTGCAAGAAAATTTAAAGAGTTTCCTATACGGTATTTCGTTCTAATTTAACATTTTAAAACTATACAAAATGTGTCCTAATCCCGGTTGGGAAAAACTGCAGACTGCCATTGAGACAATGAAAAGGAACCTCTTCGCGATGGCAATTGCAGACAACTAAAAAATATCAACGTTAAGGATTTTTGTCCAGGATCTGAACTGATTCTGGCTGGACTACCGGGCTCCGGCATCGGGCATCGAGCGCAATTTTAATAAAGTTTGAATGCAAAACTTTCCGATTTGAAATGCGCATAAAAGTTAACTATTTCCGACGGTCCAGCAGCGTTTGGCTGGAAAAGTGAAAAATCCGAGAATGTGTGTGTGTGTGAGAAAGTTTCCATTTTTCGCCGCACATTGCGGTGATCATTCGATGGTCTCTGAGATGGAGTTTAGTGTCCCCAGCCAGGACCCCCTGACAAGCAGCGGATGTGACGACCACGCCCCTTCCCTCCAACTGACTGACAGAAGGCGCTGTGTCCTTGTCGCAATCTCAGTCTCCTGCTGGCCCTGGCCATAAATTAAAGCCAACAAACCGAGGGCGGAAGCAAAAGTAGCAAGTGGGTGGGGGAGTAGTGGGTTTTCAACAGCCAGGACAAGTGGATTTTCAGCCATTGCATCTTGGCCACGAATGGAAATGGGAGTTGGAATGCAAACTGAGCCAGGAACTGTGACTGTAACTGCGACTCTGAGTGAACGGAAGCGCAGGCTGTGCTGCTAAGTAGCCTCGAGCTGCCTTGGTTAACGATCAACTTGGACACTTGCAGAAAAAGTAATTATAACAGTTCTTATTTCCATAGTATATTCTTAGGAGATAATGCCAGTAACGATTAGTAAAGAGCGCCTAAAACCAGGTCATACAATTTTTGAGCAACCATAACAAAAGTTAAGTTCCAATTTGTGACTTAAAATATTCAATTATATACTTTTGTGATACTTTTAAATAAACCTTCTTACCATACCATTTTGATTATAAACATTAAGTGGCATTGAAGTTACAGTTTAGATTAAGTGAAATCAATAAAAAGTTTCAGTATTTGTAAGCTTTGTAAGTTTCAGAACTCAGTTGAAAATGATTTCTTTGTGGATTCAGTTGTTCCTTTTGAGCTGTCTCTGCCCTCGGGTAATTCCAGCTCCCTTAGATACTCCAAATGAGGACCAGGATCCCGAGCTAACTGCAGGATATTTCGAGGGCGATATGGATGTTATACTTGGACGGAATGGACAAGTATCGCCTGCAACCCGATGGCCGAATGCCACAGTCCCTTACCGAATTTCTGAGGAGTTTGGTAAGCTAAGACATTTAGATTATATGTGCAAATTATTTATTTATATTTAATGATTTCTATCTGCAAAAGAGTCTAACCAAATGGCTCACATAGAGCTGGCCATGAAAATCATCGAACGTTCCTCTTGCATTCGCTTTGTGCCCGCTGCTAAGGATGCAAAGGACTATGTTCATGTGATCACCTCTACGGATGGATGCAGCTCCCAGGTGGGCTATCAACCAGGTGTGCGAGTCCTTAGGCTTATACCTAGTGACCTGGACATACGCTGCTTCAGACTGGGCGTACTCCAGCATGAGTTACTCCACACGCTGGGATTCCGGCATCAACAGTGCTCCCCGGATCGTGATGAGTACGTGAGGATCTTGGAGGAGAATATCATCGAGGGCAAGGAGAAGTACTTCCTCAAGTATGATGCTTCTGAGCTGGAAAACTTTGATCAGCCCTACGACTATGCCAGCATTTTGCACTATGGTCCCAAGGCCTTTTCGGCGAATGGAAAGCCAACAATTAAGGCCCTAAGTCCCAAAAGTCAGAGCCTTTTGGGTCAGCGTAAGATCATGACTGAAGTGGATGTCAATAGACTCAATACAATGTACAAATGTCAAATTCCATTGTAAAGTTGTTCCTTAAATATTTATTTTATTTTATAATTAACGTTTTTTATGATGAAAGTGTGTTAGTGATAAAGATATAATCACAAAGGAACCCATTAATTTATAATTTTTGATTTCTTTTATGTACACTGCACACTTTTGATATGGCCTTGAGATTACCTTGGCATTGACCTCACATTGACGTTATGACTGCATTTCAAAGTGTGCTAACTGTTATCACGAATAATGAGAAATAATACTTATTTTATTGACTCTGCATTGTATATAAATTCGGAAAATTGCACTTTCTAATGCATTCAAAAATGATTTCTTCGTGGTTTAACTTGTCCCTTTTGTGCACTCTCTGTTTTGGGGTCTTCTCAGTTCCCCTCGATCCTTCGTATGAGGAGAAGAATCCCGAGGTGAATGATGGTTATTTCGAGGGTGATATAATCCTAGACGTGGAGCGGATTGGAATGTTAAACCTAGACCGTCAGTGGCCCAATGCAATTGTTCCCTACAAGATCTCCGAGGAGTTTGGTGAGTTACAACTTCCTTTTTCTATTATATAAATTATTTATATTCCATATTGTTCTTCAGAACCATTTTTAGCTGACTATATAGTGCAAGCCATGCAAAAAATCGAGCAAGTCTCCTGTGTTCGCTTTGTGCCCGCTGTTAACGAGACTACATTTTTATCGGTTCAAGTGTCGGCAGACGGATGCAGCGCACACTTGGGCCATGCGACTGGTGTAAGGAATCTTTTTCTAAAACCCGGTCTATTAGACCAAGGCTGCTTTAAGATAGCAGTCATTATGCACGAGCTACTCCATATTTTGTCATTCACTCATCAGCAAAACTCCCCGGATCGTGATAGTTACGTGGTAATTAAGACAAATAATATCGAAACGGGTAGGGAAAGCAGTTTTCAAAAAAGATCTGCCGCTAATTTTGGGAACTATGGTGAGAACTATGATTATGGCAGCGTTTTGCACTATGGTCCCAAAGCATTTTCGAAGAATGGTCTCCCCACTATTGTACCCATAAATCCATTGGGATTGCTTGTAATGGGTCAACGCATAGATATGTCTGATGTCGATATTAGGAGACTCAATAATATGTACAATTGTACAACTGAAATGTAAACTAAGAAATAAATACATGCATGTCTAAAAATCCAGTAGGTTTTTGTTTTATTGTTTGGGATAATTGGTTGATGTATTAAAAATGTTTATAATTAATTTTGGTTACTGACCTGGATTTCTTTTGACCTTGGCATCAATAATTTTAAGAGAGAAAATAAAATGGTAAAACATTGCTAAAGGTATTGCGATAGCAATTCTCCTCTAGATTTTGCAGTTTTCCCAATTCCCTCGCTTATCAGTAATCAATGACAAGTAAGTGGTTTTATAGCCTCACGCTTTTGCGATAATTAACAAATTATTAACAGTTAATGCCATTTAATTCAGTTGAAAATGATTGCTGCTTGGACCCACTTGTCCCTGCTGGGCATTCTCTGCTCTGTGGTGTTCTCAGCTCCCTATAATAAACCCCATGAGGAAAGGGATCCCGAGCTGACCGCTGGATACTTCCAGGGGATATGGATGTGGACTTTGGACGGAACGGACAACTATCAGAGACGCGTCGGTGGCCAAATGCAACCGTACCCTATAGGATCTCCGAGGAGTTTGGTATGAATACTAAATATAACTGTGGAACAATATTTCTTATATGTTTTTAAAACCTTTTTAGATGCTCCCTATGTGGCTTATATTGAGTTTGGCATGAAACTAATCGAACGTTCCTCCTGCATTCGCTTTGTTCCTGCCGCTGAGGATGCCGAGGATTATGTTTCTGTGATAACCTCTACTTCGGGTTGTAGCTCCAAAGTCGGCTATCAACCAGGTGAACGAACCGTGAAACTTAAGCCGGGAGAACTGGACGCGGGTTGCTTTAAACTGGGAACCATTCAGCACGAACTACTCCATACCTTGGGCTTCCACCATCAGCAGTGCTCACCGGATCGGGATGAATACGTCCAAATTGTGGAGGAGAACATCTCCGAGGGTCACGAGAAGAACTTTGTCAAGTACGAGGCCGATGATGTGGGGGACTTTGATCAGTCCTATGACTATGGCAGCATTTTGCACTACAGTTCCATGGCTTTCTCGGTGAATGGCAAGGCCACCATTGTGGCTCTTAAGCCAGAGGGTCAAGAGTTAATGGGCCAGCGTTTGATTATGAGTCCCACCGATATCAATCGACTCAATACCATGTACAAGTGCCCAGTGCCATTGTAAAGTATTACAATAAATATTTTATTTTGCGAAGCATTACAAAATGACAAATGCTATATAATTTTAGTAATCTTATCTGGAATCAATCGGAAGTGATTGTTAAGAGTTGTTAAAAAAGGTAATTGATGTCATAACCTATTATCAGCGAAAAGGTTTGATTCATTCGTTAAAGGTATTTTTTTTAAATATTAAAATTCTAAAAATTCTTCTCAATTTATTTCATTTCTAAAACAATTTTCTAATCTTAAATTATGTGTTGCTAAGGGTTTGTATATATGTATATTTAGTCAAAGCTAATTGTCAACATATTCTTTTGCTGTCTTTGTCCTAATCAAAGTAAGCCATTCGCTTATCAATATAAATTATAAACACTTAAAAGAACAAGTGATTAATGATAAGTTTGCAACTGGAAAATTACCTTTTTTAAGGTAAAATTTTCTCCAACACTTTCCCTTCGGTTTTCACTCATTTTCACTGATATTTCAACATAGAAATTCCTATGTACTTAAAGATATGAAAGCTTATCAGTTACCTATTTTATAGCTCTGCATTTTCCAAACAAGTGAAACTTCAAACCGAAAAACTTACGCTCTTTCACCTGGCCACGAATAAAGTGGCCGCATCAGCTGATAAGATAAAAGCCAAGGAGGTTTATCTTATCAGCTTTGGAAGTGTAGGGCAACTCTTGCAGGGCATATTAGTTTACTAAGAGGTTTGATATTTAACTTAATAAATTATATGGAGTTTTGTTTAAAATCTCTATAAAATTGACGCAATACAAAATAATAAAGAACAGCTTATGAAAATTAATAGGTTTGTTATTGAAAAAAGGGATTTATTAACATATTTTACATAAAGAGTAGAGATACCCTTTCTTACACCCAATAAAATAAAAAAATGTAATATTAAGTAGCCAATTTAATGAACCAAACTTTAAATAAACTAATATAATCAATCACTGGAAGGTAGCTCAACCGTTAGTCATGGCCCAAACTGAGAGACAACGTTCAGTTAGTCGAGAATTACGGAGCGTTGCCATAGCAAGCGCTTCGAAAATGACGAATCATTAATTCCAGTTGAAGAAAGTTATGGTCGTGGCCAGCATATGGCTCTGCAATGTATCGTAAAGCCCAAGATGTGGTTGGGTCTTAAGCAGATCCTGCTCTACGTGGGTCTCCTGCTCTGCGTCCTCCTTCAGGTGTGCAGGAGCAAGACCCAGCTACAAATGTACTGCCCCACCGTTTGCCACTGCGATCTCCACGCCCAACGAAATCGGGCAATATGCAGGTGAGTACTTTGGAAAAGTACTTGTTTTTCTTTGAATTTATTATTGATTATTTAATAATTAATACTTTTTATATATTTTGCAGTGCCAAGCGCTTGATAAGCGCCAATATAGAAATGCCAAAGACAGTTGAATTGTTGGATTTGAGTTACAATGATATAACCAGCATTGACGATGACTCCTTCAAGGCAAGTGAATAAATAAATAAGCTTTGAGCTCATTGAAAATGTAAATAGTTAGATTAGATCGTTTATATACATTTAAAAAAGCTAAATGGCGTTTTTAATTATGACAAAGACTAGTTAATTCATTTTGAATACCACTGGCTTTTTATAAAAACATTACTCACAAAGGCTGTTTATATAAAAGCAATGGAACTCATTGCAAAAACCAAATATTTCTTATTAATAAACTACCTAAGGCTCTAAGGCATTAAATTGTGTTTAGTTTATAGCAATTTTAATCACAAACTATGCTAAAAAATCTTTAAACCTTTTATATATACTTCCTAAGAGCAAACGAAAATGTTTAAGTTAAAGAAAACTATTTAGCAAATTCAAACCTATCCTTTTATGATTAGTTTTGTCTATAAAATCACCTGTTTGGTTTATAATTTGTATACCTTTATATTTATTTATGTGCATTTATAAAGTATATTTTTTTAACCCCTTAGACCACCATTCACCTGCTAAACCTTACCCTAGCCCACAATGCCATTAGCACCTTGTATGGCGATGCCTTTGCGGAGCTGCATCGCCTTCGGTATCTGGATCTTTCCTATAACCGCCTGGAGCAAATCGATGAGCATATTCTGGAGGCTAATGGCCAACTGATTCACCTCAATCTGGAGGGCAATAAGCTGACCACCCTGGGCAGTGGTCCCATATTGAGGAGTCCTTCGCTTCGCTCACTCAATCTGCGCAATTCCCAGGTAAACCAATTGGGATTGGTACTCCTAAGTGCCCTGCCCCAACTACGCCAACTGGACTTGGCCCAGAACCTTCTGCTGACTCTAAGTCCTGGGGATTTCCATGCTCCTCGATATCTTGCCTCGCTAAATGTGGAGGAAAATCCCTTCAATTGCGATCGGGCTTTGGCCAAAGTGGCAACCGGATTAAGGCAGCGTGGAGTGGCGCTCTTCATGAGCGACTGCGTGGAGGAGGAGCAGGTGGAGTCGAATCAATCGGCGGAGATGGTGGAAATCAAGGAGACGGCCACCATGAAGTTCGAGCGTATGGAGCATGTGGAGCCCAGTACCCAGGGACCTCAGTCTGTGCTGGAAATCTGGCGGGAACTGGACTCCAGTGAGGAGGACAGCAGCGATGAGGAGGAGGCCAACGGTCAGATGTCCTCGCTCAGCGACGTTTGTGAGGGAAGTCGCGAGAAGCTGTGCCTGCGTTACCGCACCTGTTTGGAGCGTGTGAGCCACGAACTCCTGGCTGGCGGAAATTCCAAGCTGGACGACAGCATGGAACGCACACACACCTACGACGAGGATGACCTTAAGCTGGCCTTCATTGTGGGTGGAGCCACCGGCGTTTGCATGGTCATCTTTATCATCACCTTTGCCCTATGTCTCAAGAGTTGCTGCGAGATGCGCAAGAAAAAGAGCAACGAGGAGGTGACCGATGGGGATTCAGGTAGGATTGCATATGGAGATTGTTTCTCCATTGAAATATATATTCAAGTCTGATGATTTAATGTTATTATTCTGTCTGATTTAGCCCCCCTGGACCCCTCCCAGGAGAACCTGCCCACCATTCACACCTGGACGCCGCAGCGGTCACGTCATCCAAGGCGCTCGAATCCACAGCGCCCCCATAGCTCCTCGTCGCGCGCCATTGTCCGGCAGCCATACGGACCGCAGGATAACTTTGTGAACCGCCTGTTTGGTCGACCGGCAAGGAGTCAGTACTACCGGACCATCAATCAGAATACAGCCACGCTCATCCGGCGGTTGAGTCGGAGCAACCTCTTCAGCAGTCGGGATCGGGGGAGCCGGTCACGCCAACCACGCCGGCACCAACTTCCACGACCCGATTCTACACGGATGTGGTGGAACGAGGAGCGGCCAGGCCGGAGACACCGCCTCCAAATTATGGGGACGTGGTGGTTATCGATAATTGTGATACGAGTAACAAGTGATGTCGCCCCACCAATTCGCCCTTTATAGTTTTTAAGTATAATTTACCTCATTTTAAATATTTTAAACTGCTCTTAAATTCAGTTCAAGAAAAATATATATATATAAACATCTTGAGTTTAAGAAATTCTTATATGCCTTCAAAGATTTTGAATATTTTGAAAGAGAATAAAATAAAATATATACATATAAAATATATATATAAATATAAAATATATTATACTCAAACAAGAGTCAAGCTATGCTTGAAAAACCCCTTTGAAATTGATATTAAGAAATGGGGTCCATGACAATAAGGAAATTAGTTTAATAACAAATGCATAGCTAGCACAGCGGATATACATATATAAATAATAATTGTCATGGTTAATACTTACCGCAGTAGAGGAAGCACGGTGATCCTCTCTGTCGTCATTTCTTCCAGTGTAGAGTTATGCTTTTGATGACTTTATCGAAGTGAGCGTCTTCCTGGTCATCCAATTGCATTGCCTTGATCAGATGGCATAGTTGAAGTCGAAGATCACTATCACTAACACTAGCACTATCACCACAGATGTTTACACTACAAAGGCCACGTACAGACTGAGGGCAGCGGGCCGTGCGTGCCTCTATTTATAGTTCCCGAGTGAAGAGAACAGAGAAAGTGTGAGCGAGAGAGTAAGAGATACCTTCAGAGAAAGAGGCATCCCAAGAGATAATTAGAGAGTGATAGACATAGCGAATAAGTGAGAGGGAGAGAGAGAGGGAGCGGGTGCTGGAACAATTTAAAATAATGCATTTTCATTGTTTACATTTAGCCATGATCAATGCGCTCATTTATGCTGTTCAGGAATATATATGTATTTGGGGGATCGGCATCGACTCCTTCACCCCATTGCAAGCTTCTAATCAAAAATATAACACCCCCCGCAAGGGAATAAATACTTGTTAAAATTCTCATATATTATTTCAACAAATATTTAGGTAAACTCTTTAAATTTATAGCTCGGAAGATCCCCTTTAGCGAACCCACAACCTCGTGTTCAGCAAAGACCCTGAAATAAACTTTAACATTTCTTCATTCCCATTCGGTTACTCGCAAAAATATCAATTGGGGAATTCCCGCATTTTTGCTTCCTCTTCCCGTTTCTTGGATGAGCATTACTTTTACAAGACTTGGACTTGCAGCTGCAACAAATCGCAATAAAAACTTTTGACAAAACTATCAAAGTTGGCATGGGGGGTATGGCAGAACCAACTGTGAAATTGCCACAGGAAAATCCCAAAAAAAAAAAAACGAAAATCCCACAAAAATTCAAGTAGCAAAAGTTTACACACTCAAATAAATGGTAAGGCGCGGAGTGGAGTGAGCTCTTTTTTGGGGCACCCCCTTGCTTCGCCGACAGACAAATCGAAAAACACCACAAAAGCAAATAAAAACCGCACAAAAAAAAATGCCATAAGAATAAAACTGCAAAAACTGAAAGAAAAGAACGGCAAACCCAACAATTTGCACTGCAAAGCGGCAAAAGTGTCTCCAAAGAAACAACCACTAAAGCCCAACCAGATACAAAAAAGAATATATATGTATAAAATATATATTTTATATATGTGTGTAAATGAATGTATAGGGAAAGAAAAAAAGTCCAAGTTATGTTGCAATGATACAAAAAAATACCCATATTGTAGCAAAATGTTATGTGATAAAGCACTGGGAGAAAGCTATGAATAAATAATAAAACATAACATATTTTATACCTTGTATAGATCAGATATTAGATTAACAATGAATAGTTACTGATTGCAAGTTAATACAACTTTGAAGTGATTACATTCATCACATAATCAACTAACTAATAAATATTACAGGCTTGATCTTAACTTGATTTACCATCTTGCAATATTTTCTTACATTTCCTTTACAAATTCCTTAGTTTTTAATTATAAAGAAAAGAGTAAAACAATTTTCGTATACCATTTCATATTACCTCTATTCTATTTTAAAAAACCACAACAGCTCCTTAATTCATTCTTCATTTGCCAGTTCGTTTGAAAAGCAAATTTGCTGTGCGGCATCTTCTAGTGTTCTGTTGTTAAGTGTTTGTCTGGCTGTCTATCTATCTATCTAGCCAAACGTATCTGTGTTTTGTGGTGCCAACTTTCATTGCACTGAGCTGCGGTGCACAAAAGTTAACGTATCCTGGGACCAAAGTTGCGTTGTCAACAACCAAAACGCAGGGAAAAAAAATAGAAAAGCATAGGAAATGGGGGAACCAAATCGAGGAAGCTTAACTGAAGTAAAAAAAATATAAAATGCTCGCCATGAGCCCAAAGGGGGAATTGGGGGAAAGTTACACAGCTACAGAGCGTGAAAAAATATCTAAATCCAACATTAATGAAAAACTTTTTGCATAATCCACGAAGAGCAGCAAAACCCCAAATCAAACCCAACTTCCCCTCTCCCAAGTGGAAATGCAGCCAAGCGAAATCCTTTGCGGGAAAAGGAGGAACTCCCCGTCGAGTGAATAAAATGCAATAGAAGAGGACCGCAGGATAACAAAGCAACAGATTCCGCTGGGAGGCCACGGGGAATGGGGGATTTATTTTTTTTTTTTTGAGGCATTGAAGGACACGCCAAGCGGCTTAAAAGGTGCCGAAGGTTACACCGCACAGCACCGAAGAAAGTAAGTGATGAGATGGCTCAGACTTTTGGGGCTTGGGGAGTTTGCAAAAGTCGCACTAAATCTAAGCCACGACTTGAGAAAAAATGGAGAGCTCGATTTGAAAGGGCATTGGGGGTAGGGAAAACTGATTGGAAAATGGTTGAAAGAAGATCAAACGATTTGAATGTCTTTTGTATAGAGCTTTTGTAATTTAAAGGGTTGAGTTTATAGTAGAAATAATATAATTACGAGTTCTAAAAATGTTAGATTCTATTAACTTAAGTATAAATTTATGTTTTAGCATGGCATACAAATAAATTATGCTAAAGATAAAGATAATTATCAATTAAGATAAACTTGATTATATTTCTTTTAAACTTATTTTCAAATAATAAACATGACTTGAAATTTGGCTAAAAGAAATATTATACTGCAATTCCCTTTAACCTATTTTAAACATATTAAATAGGAAGCTGATTAAAGTCAAAAAGCACTTAGTTTGTTCTAACTACCGCTTAATATTATTCCATTTTTACTCATTTCTTATACTCATAAACTTCCCCCCTATCGATATAATTTCATTATTCATTTGCCAGAGAACCTGAACCCTCAATTTAGGCATCTGTCTGTTCATAAGTTTCAGTAAACCGTGATTTGTTTGCCGAGTGTTAAATGGCAACATGGCCATTTGCCAACACTTTGCCCGCTGCAGAGTAAATAAATTAAATTCTTATTTGCCGGGCTGCCCTCGGGCCCTTTAGGTTCCGTGTAAAAGTTTCAGCAGTCGCCGGACACGGTTGCCCGGTGTCGCCTGCGACTTTCGTCCTGTTCCTGGTCCCGGCTCCAGGACCCTGCAAAGGCGTCGTTGCCGTGTGTTGCAATAACAAACTCATGCTAATTGCTTTGCTAACAACTCGCAGCAACAGAAACAGGAGCAGAAACTGACTGTGCAACTGCAACAGCAAAAGCAAAGGCAGCAGCAGCAGCAGCAACAGCAGCAGCAACAACATCAAGTTGCACTGACAATAAGAGAGCAGAAAATGCAGCTAGGACAATAAATATCAGCAGTAACTGGGAAGGAGCTAAGGAGCTACAAGTCCTGGCTACCTTTAATTACGGTTTTGCAGGACATCCAGACCACACGCACACACACACACGGTGCTAACTAGTTGCACATGGCACAGATACACCCATGACACGATTGACCTCTCGCCTTTGGGATGTTGCCGCTGCCATTTACTCGACGCGTCTGGACAGTGTCTACTACACTGGGACAAAAACTTTACACAGTTGTAGATGACTTCTTAAAAGATGTTGGTCTTTAATGGAGTTAGATGTTTGCTTTTCTTTTAACTGTTGAACATCATCCAACATCATCAGTTGATAATTAATTCATTATAATATTTATGTAATATCCTAAAACGGAATTTTCCTTACTTTATATTCATTATAGTGTACTATCATTTTTATACTATTCTGAGCTATTTTCTCTCTCTGCATCTTCTCCAAGTCCTTTCGGTTTATAGAATTTGCACACGAACTTGCGATAATTGCTGGGAAATGAAATAAAAATGCAATTAAAGCCGGTGACGCTGTGAAGCGGGATCCCAAGCTCGTTGAAATGAGCATTCAATTAAGCGGCAGCCAACGAGCTGCGAGACCGTGTCCTGGAATGGGTAGTGTCCTGTATTCAGTGTCCCTGCTCGTCCCTTCTGTCACAGCCATGCACACACTTGACGGCGACAACGTCGAGGGCGTTTAGAAAATGATTTTTATCTTTATCAAATTAGAAAACGACAACAGCCAGCGGTACTGGTACTAGGAATCGTTTTGCAACGGAATCCCGATTCCCGATCCCAGATCCCAGATCCCCAACCAATGCCTCCGGCTTTCAGCCAACCAGTCAGTCGTGTCTTGGCAGTGTCGTAGCAATTAAAACTCTGCCATGGCTTTTGTGTAGATTACATCGCCAGCGATTCTGGGGCGTGTCCCCTGGTCAGTGGGCAAAATGTTAAATGCTTTGAAGTTTATTTCTAGATTTGCACGACTGCCCTCGGTGAATCTATGTGGGAGTAATATATATATATACAAAGATATATATGTATATATGAATGGAAATGGAGGAACCAAATGGTTGTGGGCGGATACGGCATCAGGAGTCTGCTACTATTAGCAGATTACATTTGTTTAACACAGATCAGAAGAGGATGCTAGCTGAACGTATAATGCTTTAAGTTGAAATTATATTGAATAGAATTTTAAAATATATTTCAAAACCTTCATTCTGAATCATAAATACTTTTATATTAAGTACATTTAATTCCCTATCACAATCTCAATTACATATCCCTTTTCAAGCTCATCCAGCGTAAGGATCGTTTAACATCCTTTTATAATTTACATTTTCACCTGCTTCACCCCAAAAA